CAGGTTTCTTCTTATGCCAGCTAGTATATGGTGTTGTTTTGGGAAGTGGTGCCATAGGGCAACAGTTGTGCACATATACAAATGCAAGCACTGCTAGTCCTCAGAAGGAGGGAGAAAGATGAGCTTCATAGAGCATAGTAATAGCCCCTTCAGCAATATCACGATTTGCACGTTCTGCAATTCCATTTTGATGAGGCTCATCAGGCTCAGTATGGCGCCTTGATATCCCTTCTTCTATGCATAACTGATCAAATTCACGACCCATATACTCTCCTCCACCATCGTCTTGCTCCTCTAAGATCTTCAGACTGTGAAAGTTTTCAGCATAGGCTTTGTAGCATTTGAATTCAGCCAGAGCATCACTCTTGTGCTTTAGCAAGGCGACAGCCCAAAAACGCAGAGCACCACATATAAAAGTGATCCAGTAGTGATAACCTTCTGGCGTAGCAACTGATATTGGTCCTTTAAGATCAGAGAATACAATTGTGAGAGGGCGTGTTGGAAGAGGTGAGGGCCCTTGAGGGATATTATGTCGCCTGTGCTTGCCCATAAGACAGGGTTCACAAATTGGATCAGGATTAGATTGCGTATTGTTCATCTTCATATTCAAGACAAGTTGATTCTCGTACATGTCCCGGACAATGTTTATACTTCTGTGACAGGTTTGTCGATGCCATAGAGTCAGATCAAATGGACAGGTGCTTGCAGTATTGGAGGTTACCGGCCTTGTAGTGCAAGTGGTGCCATTAAGATATCCGATGTTATTATCATTAACAGTGGCTGAGAAATGAAGCGCTTTGTCTTGAAAGAACTAAACAGATGACCCAGCTATGTTGATCTCATATCCTTTATGACGTGTAAGATGGAAGGGTGAAAGCAAGTTATTGTGAAGATCAGGTACATGCAGTACATCCTGGAACTCAACAGCCTCACAGACCTCTCCATTCTTCTCTTTAGGCTCAAACACGACTGTCCCCATGCCTGCTGAATAGATGATTGAATTGTCTGCTAACCGAATTGGAACCACATGTGGTGTCCAGACATGAAACCAGTCTCGACGATGGCTCATGTGAGATGAAGTGCCTGTGTCCATATTCCAGTTAGATGATGCTGGGGACAAGAGATTGATACTCGCTTGGCTGGCAGTCTCTTCTACAATGTTTGACTTCTCTGTCTTTGCCTCTCCCACCTTCTTGCCTGATTTTGCATTCCGACATTCCTGGACACACTGTATAGCTTGCTCCTTGGCTTTCTTTTTGCTGAAACACTCCTTCTTGGTATGTCCAGAGTTGGTGCACCAGCTGCAGGTGGTATCAGATGATGCCACATGAGTGGCTTGGACTCTGACAGCGCTTGCTTTGAATGATGTTGCTGAAGTGGTGTCACGAGAGCGGCGCTGCATCTCTTCAGTGTGGAAGGCAGCAACAAGTTTGTCGAGACTGAGAGAATGGAGAAGAAGGACTGATGACATGAAATTGTCGTAATCGGATGGGAGGGCATGGATGAGAGTCATGGATTGAAGCTCTTCATCGAGTTGATCAATGGTGAACCTTTCAGGGCGGAGAGCTTTGATGTCTTGTATAGCTTGTGAGACACGTCCAACGAGAGTAGAGAGAGACTCTCCATCATCCTTCCGAATGCTGAATAAGGCATCGTAGGCATTGAAACGGGTGCCCGGTTTTTGCTGTTGGTGAATGTCTTTCAGTTTCGACCACATGGCTGTGGGCTTACCCATGAGGAGACTGATGTGAGCACGCTGTGATTCGTCAATGCAAAGCCAGAGGTATCCTGCTGCAGATGAACGAGCTTGAAGGTAAGCTTTCGTCTCCCTTTTTTCGAGCTTTGTGGGTTCGCTGGGGTCGACTTGCTCTGGTGGCTCCTCGGTGCCATCGAAGTGGCCAAATAGCCCCTTGATGCACATATAGGCCTCGAACGAAGGTGCAAAGTGGCTCCAGTTGCCAGCATGGAGGTTGGGAAAACCACGTTTGGTGGTGTCAACGACGTCTGAGTCATTCATCGTGGTGTGAGAGAAAAAGAGACCGTTGGGGTTAGAGAGTGTGTGGATGTGACTTCCGAATGGATAGTGATATCCTCTAGGAAAGTGAGCGAGACTTCGACGTCTAGTGAATAGTTCGCGAGAGGGAACGAAAAGTTTGCTTGGCTTAGTAAGGCGCGGGGCCCATAACCTGTTGAGAGCAGGTTGCGTAGCGCAGCGGGGAATGCCGGGTCTGGAGTCGAAAGTCAAAAGCTAGTAGACGTTGACTTTCGATCTCCAGTATTGGTAGCTACGATTATGTAAGGTAAGAGCGACATGGAGGGTGTGCTACTTCAACAATCCTGCCGTCACGCAGCCAGTAGAGAGAAACAGCCGAGGTCAGTGCATACATAGAGATAATACATAAAGAGTCAAGGGACAGCATGTGTAATGTGCCGAAGTAAACAAAGTAGTCAAAAGCAGCAGCGAGGAAATGGAGGGCGAGATGGACGATGCGCGGGTGGATGGAGGACCCAAACCTGGTCGTGGAGCTGCGGTCTTAGAAACGTGTCAAAGAGGGGAAAACTCACATAACAGACGTGGAATTGGATGGGCGATAACAGAGGTCTGTACTACCGCGCGAGTAGATCAATTGAGGAAGAGGAAGATTAGAGATTGTGCATATTTTCCTGTGGAAGAAAACGCGGTGCATGCGATCAATTCCCTCTCTTCTTCCAATGCTTCATACATATTCTCAAATTATTTTGCACCTAGGAACCAGAAAAGACAACGGTCCTGCCAATCTGAGTCTAAGACTCAGCTCTTCCAAGTTCCATAACGCTAAACGGTCTTTCATATGCCGTACTCAGGATCCGTGACATATATAGCAAGACAACTAAAAGATTATTGCATAGGCTGCACGAGTCGTATTTGCACTAGTACACAAGACAGCCTAAACCACATCAAAACACTCGGCACAGCCAATCAGACTTGGAGCAACTTGCGTCGTCTGTGGGTCGAAGCTCAGCTCCCGTAGGCCCGTCGTCTTGCGTGGCAGTGACAGAGATGACTAGTAGCAAGTACTACAAGTCAGGATGATCCTCACTACTTGAAACGAGAGCGAGGGTTAGTAGCACAAGCGGCTTCAAAATCCGACGCCGAAGACACTAAGCATTGAACGCATTTAAGTAGCACCTATAATCTAGGCACTCGACAGGTACTCCGTACCTGTGCGAATAAGAGGCTCTTCGGTGTCCACTTTCCTGCGTATGAATGGTGGACCAAAGAAAACATGTGCTTACAGCAAAGATTCCCTCTAATAGCCGACCAGCACCTGCAAATTGCGCTCCAGAAGGGGGGCCTGGGATCAGTTGGAAGCATACATAGATAAGGTTCCACGCACGCCTCTTGATGGGCAGGGAAGTTGACCTGAAGTTAGTCCAATCCTTCGTGGGGCCCAGACCCAAAAGGTACTAGGGAAGCAAAGCTTCAGATTCCTCTAGGGGACTTGAACCCCATGATGTGCTCTACCAACTGAGCTGAGAGGAATTGCTTAAATACAAGGGCCCGGTTCATAAAAATACCTAATTCCCCCCACATACCAGCATCCGTGGTTTTACAGATGCTGAGACATTTTGCAGGATAGGTAGAACCCGGTTACTAAGTAGCTGAGGGTCCCGCTCATCTTGAAAGAATGTTTTCCTGTTATACCAAAAAAAAATACTCAACTCCATTGCGCGCTAATGGCATGAGCTCGAATCGAACAAGCTCTTGCTCGGTCCCGATATGCCATCACGGCTTCATTAACTATACTCGGTGCCATCAGTAAATGACAGACAGAAAGCCAAGAATCATTCATACTGGTTAGTTGCACCCCTTCAAGCAAGAGACACGTATTTTACCAGGGCTAAATACGCATAATTCATTCATGGGACAAAAAAAAAAAAGAGCCTCACTGACCTTGTTATCTCTTTCTTCGGATATGTCTTCAATAATAGTAGCGCGCTCTACCAACAGAGTAAGAGGGACTAAAAAGTACGTAATCTCCACCATGAATCACATCAGCTTGAATCGAACAAGCTCAACCCTGGCGCAGTCCCGATACCCTATCATGCTAATAAGAGAGTAGGCGTCAGACGTTTCTGTGGTACAGATAATGTAGGGAAGCACCCAAAGTTCAGCATCGCAAAATCGGAATAGAACCTGGAGCGAGAAATAGATCTTGATGATTTCAGATATCTCACAATTAAGGTTGTAAATATAGGAAGCTAGGCGATGAAAAAATACGGAGAAACAAACGCGTGATGTGTGTGCGGGCTGGCAATCGATCAGCCGACTTGAACGAAATGGATCAATACAAGGCTGTGAGAGAGAAAAAAAGTAGGACTTTGGGGATATCAACACCGATGATAAGGTTAAAACACAAATTTGTGACGACCACTTAGAGATCCCTAGCCGGATTGATCGATCAAGACCAGCTTGCGCTCTACGGACTGAGCCAAGAGGGATCTGGATGTTGTAACCGTTCTTTTTATTGCATAAGCTCGAATCGAACAAGCTCTTTGCGTGCGGTCCCGACGGCGCCATCACACTGTGAGATAAAACCAGAGTACGGAGAGATCCTATCATATCGCGTAAACCAACGAGCTCGAAAGCCGGAACGAACCATGTTATAATTGGCTTGGGACGAAGTGACTTGCAGGGAAAAAAAACATTGGCAACAAAATGCCAAGGCTCATGGTTCTGTGTGTTCCTCGAAAAAGCAAAAGGTTTTCCAGCAGAAGTGAAAAACAAAGGAAAAAAAAAAAAAAAAGTACATCTCAACAAATTCGCTAGTACTGGCACAAGCTCGAATCGAACAAGCTCTTGGCACGCGGTCCCGCCCGATACGCCATCATGCTGTGTGCTGTGTGAGATTAAACCAGAGTGTGGGAGAGATCCAAACATATCACATAAACCAATATCCAGCTTGAAAGCCGGACCAAACCACGTTATAATTAGCTTGGGACTCGTGCTTCGCCAAGGCTCATAGTCCCTCGAAAACGACTTTCTCGACACGAGCAAGATCGTCAGAGGAACGCCAGCATGAGAAAGAGTCGGACGCCGGGCTCGGAGTAAGCTTGGCTTTTACTGACCAGTGCTCACTCGCACGATTTCTTCGTGGAAGGGAGATCTGCGGTGGTACCGTGCGGGCCTGGCCGACTCCACATCAATGGAAGCATATGCCTATATACGAAAAACGGATACACGCACTGTGCACAGACCAGTCGACGTGCGCATAGTTATTGGCACGAGGCACGACGACAGGAAGAGACTGGTGTGGCACATGAGCTAGAACAAAGGCCTGTCTGGACCGAAAAGAATATCATGGCCAGTATACAGCGCGCGTGTTGTTCGAAAGGAAAACATCGATGCCCCAGTTGGTGTTCTCGAAAAAAAAAGAGTCGAGTCCCATGACTCGTCGGAAGATTTGTTCGGGAGAAGTAAAAAAGACAGGACAGGCTTCAGGATTGGGTCCATGCCTTGAAATGAAATGCCCTCAGCTTCGGGATATTAAAACTCGATAATCCCTGTCCATCCGAAGATTGTGATAGAAATTCCAGCCTCGAGTCGTACCCAAGACAGCCATCAAGGTTCTCCCCCACTGTGGGTGGTAAAAGACCCCTTTGCCGACCAACCACGCGTCTTCAACACGGATCCCCTCTAGCCGACTAACCACCCTCAAGTTGCACTCCGCGAAGCGGGATATGGGGATCCAAGCCAGGGATTGCCAGCGAGAGTTGTCGCACTGCCAGAACGCAAGCGAAAGGTCCCAGCAGAAGTGAAAAAAAAAAAAAATAGACCTAAACAACGTCACAAATGGCGAAAGCTCGAATCGAAGAAGCTCTTGGCGTGCGGTCCCGATGCGCCATCACACTGTGACACAAACCAGAGTGCAGAGAGATCCTAACAAAAGCCCGTCATCTAATAGTACACTGAGCACCGTTACACATCCAGGAGAGAGAAACAGCCGAGGAGGGTGTTAATTGGAAGTACGGGATACCGGTACACAAAGGCAATAGGCAAAGAGTCCTGTTCCGAGGGAATGGCACGCGTGAATTGTTCGTAATGTGCCCAAGCAAAGAAAGGAAACACAAAGTCTGAGCGAAAAAGAATCTTAGGGAGCGAACTACCCAACGGCGAGGATGCCCGCACCTCCAATCTGCATGTGCAGGACGGAGGAAGAGGCAGAGGAGGGCGAGATAGACGATGCATGGGTGAGGGAACCCGAAGGCACATGTTAAAGAGGGGTGAACGGGAGGAAGGAGTACCCCAGAAGCTGACAAACTCCCTGCTCACACCAAGACGCGACATGGTGGCCCAAAGTGGAAAACACGTCCAGTCTGCGCCTAGATGTCACTGATATCCACGAGCTCGCTGCGAAAGTTATCGCATAACACTGCATAGAATATAGAGCGAGCATCGAGTAGTCCCAATGGAGAGCGTGAAGTGGGAAGAGAGGCGCGTATTTCCCATGGAAGTAAACACGGTGCACGTGATCGATTCCTCGCTTCGTATATCCTTGTCGTTTTAAGAAAAGAAAATGTTGCCTCCAATCCGAAAGAACATGGGCCCAACGCTAGGCTCTTCCATGGCTCGAAACAGATCATTTACCATCAGAGTTTCCCTCTAGCCAGCTCTGAACGACTCAGCCAACATCTTCAAATTGCAGGGACACGGGATCAAAAAGCTCAGTGCACTCCTAGAATGCCAATGCCAGCAGAAGCTCAGCGAAGCGAAGAAAAAAAAAAACACGTACATCTCAACAACATTGCTAATAGCATAAGCCCGAATCGAACAAGCCCTTCGCGCGCGGTTCCGACGCGCCATCACGCCGTGAGATAATCCCAGAGTGCGGACCAACCATATGCATATGCTTTCAGCAGAGAGAGATGTCCCCCCTAACCGGGCCTGGGGCTTGAACGACTCGGCCAACACCTCCAAATTGCAGGGACATGGGATCAAAAACCCAGGGATTGCTGGTGAGAGCAGAAAAGGTTTCTAGAAAAAGTGAAAAACAAAAACAAAAAAAAAAAGGATGTTCGAACATCGAGGAATGGCACAAGCTCGAATCGAACAAGCTCTTTGCGCGCAGTCGCACATGGCCATATGAGAGTGTGGGAGAGATCCCCAACATATCGTGGTAAACCCTATTTTCTTCGCGAAAGGGAGATCTGCGGTGGAAACTCTAATGTCATCAATCCATGACTCGCGTTCGAGAGATTTGTAGACAGGCTTCAGGATTGGTCGATTGCCTGAAAATGAAATGCCGTCAGCTTCGGGATATCAAACGAGATCACAAATACGGACCGAAATTACCGCGCCGACTCTATAAAGTGACAAACACCATCTCATCTCCTTCTTGGGATCACCATGACAAGACCCATTCGCCTCGGATGCATCGGCCTATCCACCAAAGGATGGGCATCCACGCATCTCGTACCTCCCCTCCTCACCTCACCCCTCTCATCGCAATACACACTCCTCGCCGTATGCACCACGAACCCCACATCTGCCGAAGCAAGCGCAGCGACCTACTCTACCACTGACACCAGCCCCGTGAAAGCATATCACACTTCCGAATCCATCGCGTCAGATCCCGATCTCGACATGATCGCCGTATCAATAAAGACACCCCACCACGTGGAGGCCGCCACAAAGGTCATCTCCGCCGGGAAGGACCTCTTCATCGAGTGGCCCGCTGGGCGGGGGCTAAAAGAGACAAAGCTCCTCGCCTCGCTGGCGAAGGCCCAGGGGATCCGGACGATCGTGGGGCTCCAAGCTCGGCAGAGCGTGCTATTCCGCAAGGTGAAGCGATTAATCGAGGCAGGCGAAATTGGCGGTGTCTTGTCCACGAGCATGGTGCGTAAAAAGAATCTCGTGTATGCATAGCTCATCCCTTTCTCATCTCTATTGGTAGACGTCACGAATATACGGTCCGCATGGGCCATGGGGCCCAACAGTGCATAAAGGCGGCGAGTACCTGTTGAAAAGGGATAATGGCGCAACACTCCTCGATATCCCCGGAGGCCATTTCTTCGAGGCCTTCACGTATATTCTTGGGCCGGTGGATACCGTCTCCGCGACCGCAGTCATCCAGCACGCCTCGTCCCAAGTAGTCAATCCCGACGGCACGCCCACCGGTGATGTCATCCCCGCCGATGCTCCATCGCAGGTAGCCGTGTGCGGCACGCTAAAGAGTGGTGCAGTGATGAGCCTGCATTGGCGTGCAGGTCTGGATACGCCTGCCAGTGTTCGAGCGGCCACCCCACTCGTATGGGTTATCGACGGGACGAAGGGGAGTATCAGGATCGAGAGCGACGATCCCGCGGCGGCTCTGGTAGAGATGCATGAGCCAACGCAGCTGTGGGTCAATGATGAGGAAGTGAAGGTCGAGGATGATGGCAAGACAAATGAGGGCAGGGCTTGGGAGGAATACTTGAAGGGCGAAGGCACTGGAGACTATCCCGACCTGGAGCATGCCGTTCAGATTAAGAGCATCATTGACGCTATTTGGAGGAGCGCTGATGGAGGCATAAGGGTCAGCCTGTAAGACATTGGAAGAGCATACGCCGCACTAGGATGTCGAATTCCGTAACCTTTTTTTGTTCCATTTATGCTAAAGATAAATATTGCTTAGTGGGCAGCTTGGGCATAGACGTCATTGATATCCACGAGCTGGCCTGGATCGTGTACTCCATCCCTGCATTGTGGGAAACGAACAAAGCAGAAAAACAGAGCGAGTCGGCGATGGAGAACACGGATGGGTCATCGTCACACCGACATGCTTTTGCTGGGCACTACAAAGCCAAGGACCAGGTTAGCGATAGCGCGAGGTCGAAAAACTGAGCACGCACCTCTCACCTGGCAATCCCACACGCTTACAGCATGGAATAAGCCCCCACTACCATTCACAGTTCTAGGGGAGCGTTTCTTGAGGTTATCCTCCAGGTTCGATTCACTTGGCGCAAAGGCATGGCCACGATCCACGGCGAGCAAGGATCGACTTGAATAGCCAGCATTAGCGAAGCCTCGACACCGAAAGAACAATAAACGCACCACTGGTGATCCATCCCAACAATTCTGGCAGCATTCGTCCCCACTCGGAGCCTGGCTAATCATCGAATTCTTCGTGAGGCGGTTACGATTCATCGAGACGCAGGGATCGGCCTGTAGAGCTAAAGTCAACAAAATGCAAGACATCAGATCAGCCCCCATCATCTAACTGTCCTGTGTCCGACCGGTTGTTCCTCCACACCACTTTGGAACGGGCAGTATTCTCTTCCTGGGAGCGTTGTCGGCTTGTTCCACTGCCACTGGGCCATAAATCCCATTGTTACCAGAGTTGAAGAGAAGTCAGCATTCGTTCGGATATCTAGACATCGAAACTAGTATCTTCCCTTCCAAGGCAAGATGTAAATCGCATCTATCGCTATACTTTTTAGGGAATCAGTTGCACAGTGAGGATACGATTGGAGAGTACACACACCGAATTTGTAACAGGGGGGGGGAGACCGACCACAACTGGGGGGTGGGCAGTGCTAGGTTCCTCTATTCTTTGCGGATGTAGGTCAGGAGCAGCGACGACTGCTTCGATAGCACGACTACATTATGGTCGTCGGGGAGAGAATGAACGAAGATTTCTTGTAGCGTCTCTGGAGAGCAAGGGGATTGGCGAGAGCCTTGTGGGAAAATCGAAAGCCTTCTTTTTTGGGGCGAGAAGATCAGAGCACTTGGCGGGAGCTTGGAGGCGTTCCAGTTGTATATCCACAATCCTGGAATTCTGTGTCGATATTAGAGATTTTAGAATCGAATTACCTTCTAAAATTGACATAATAATCATCAACTTGTAGCATTGATGGGGTAGTGGTAACCTGGGTCATGGCCCGCCGGAGGTTCCATCCCCTTGCAATGCACTTCTCTGTGACTGAGGTTTTTGTTGTAGATTATCTTGATTCTTCTCAATGTCGTTTACTTTATTACTGAGTAATCTTTTACCGGTCAGCTGTGCAGATTTTACACCCTAACCAACACATTACTGGTGTAAGTAAACTCACCCAAAACCTAACTTCAAGTTTGTCCGCATTACGCCCATATTGAATCATGTGGATCCATGGGAAACATCATGTTGGACGGCAGGCTCATGCTTTTCTACTTTTTGTTCGTTTTTTACACTTCATCATTACAAGTATTCACACTCCAGGATTCTGACAAATGTTGTAGGTATCTTCTTTTCATGCCAGCCTGAGGTTGGCTGATTGTTACTTATTATTCTGTTTCTCAGTGCCAAATGTTGGGGAAGCAATATCACGATTTCACTAACTGTCCCTTATGTGGATCTGTAGCAAGACAATCCTTCCTGCAGAGCATACACTGACCTCGCATCTTACAGTTGCTTCAATGCAATGATGCCCCATCTCGCTGGAACTCTGGTCATCCATGTCACCCATCCTATCCAATCATTTTTTATACTCAATTTTTTGCCGGATGTTCATGCTTGGATTTTGGCTTGAGAGGTCACAGAATGCTTCCCTCACCATAGCATGCTTTAGTAACTGTGATATTTCCTCTCACCCATTACTTTCCCTTGTCAACACCTGCATATCAGTAATAAAGAATCTATGTGTTGAGAGCACTTTCCTTCTGCCAAGGGCACTTAAAACGACTTCACAATCTCAAAATTGATGCATCCAAAAGCAACAGGGAGACATTCAGGTCTTATATTGCTGAGCAAACTATTGTGAATATTGATGCATTTGAATATGTGCCCACTTTACAAACATTTTCAATGTATGGCATGCTGACAGCATACTGCCTCAGCCTATCTCCATCATACCCTGGACACAGCTCACATGATTTGGGCTTCAAATTGACCATCTGAAAGAACTCAAAGTTCTTTGACAAGTGAAGAATGCCTAGGATCTTGAAATCCATATTAGGAGGACATTCAGCATCCCCAAAGGTCATCACTGTCCTCCTGCCTTTCCTCATATCATTGACACTTTTATCAATGAGAATGTTGGAAAAATCACCTGAAGTTTGCCTTCTATTCTCATTTCTGTGCATCCTGAACCTTGTCAATATACACCTCATCTATGCTGGAATGCCCATCCTTCCACATATTAAATTGCACAATACAATCGCTACACTCAGAATCACAAGGTTCCTGTCTACTGCTGCAGGTAGTAGAGAAGGCTACACATTTCCCAGCTTAACAAAGCTGTTGAACTCAGTGGTTAATCTCCAATATCTCATTCTAAAGTCAGCTAGAGCATTATCATTGGATGATATATCTCTGCTGAACCCTTCAACTGCTAGTGTGACTCTTTCTCATCTTAAAACTCTCAATGTTCATAGCTGTACATTCTATTTTGCTCATTCCATCTTTGTGGAGATGATTAAGGCTCACAGACAGAGAACAGATCCAAAGTGGGATCAAGTTGAGACCATGTATTTGGGCTTGTCACTCATGCTGGATGATTCCACTGTTGGCATTTGGCAAATCTACTTGACAATGGGCTGAATGTCATGTATGGAGAATCAAGATGACAGAGGTTTTGTGGATCAGAAGTCTGTCTCTTGGATTTCTGTCTTGGTAGTAGAGATTTCAGATTTGATCATAGACCAGAAATAATGGATGGCTGATTTTTGTTTTGCATGACAGTATGGGGAGATCTGTAAGATGCAAGTATGTGGCCATGAGAGAAGAAAATAAGGAGTAAAATTGCATTTGATTCTTTATCTTCTCTAGATAATACACTATAACAGCATAATGTCATGCATTAATGGGGTAGTGGTAACCTGGGTCGTTGCCATCGACCCGCCGGGGGTTCAATTCCCTCTTAATGCACTGTGAGAGGGAATTACATCTTCTTTTACCAGATCTTCATGCGTGGACTTTGGCTCGAGAGGTCCCAAATGCTTCTCTCCCTCTGTCTCAGTGGTGTGTTTCAGCAGCTGCAATAATACAATCCCAGACTCAGAATGAAGCTTTCATCTACTACATAGGCTGTGGTAGATGAATGACTGTCTTGGACATTGATTGGTATTCTTCAAGGACAGTTTCCTCAGTTCTCTTTGTCTTACTGAGTTTCAGAAATCTATATGCTAGACATGTATGGAAATTTTATCATGTTTTTGTATTTTTTTCCCTTGGCTATGCCAATGCCAGTTTTATGAGTATGACATGTCTCTGGAGCCAATGCCTGATACAACAGAAGATATTTCTTCAATTGGTCATAAGATGATAAAATATGTCATTCATTATAATCTCCTGTGTCTTTCTTTCCACTACTGTCACCTCAAGCTAAATGACTTTAATGCAGGTATGTTTTTGATATACATGTTGTTTTTAAGTGTATAGCTATTAAATGTTTCCTTAAAATCATAAGATATCATCAATCACAATGATAGCAACATTTTCTAACTATGTGCATTTATCCTGTGTGTCAGAACTTGCTCAGTTGCAATGATCCTCCATTGGATAGTGAGCTCTTAGATTTCCAGAACATTGTCCAGAGCAGAACATGGGAGAAATCATAGATCTTGACAAGAAGATAGCATGCACACCAAGGAATATCTTACCAACCTCATTTGTGAGTGAAGCATCCTCAAAGCAGATATCTATGATGCTAGGGAATGTTGTCTTCTCTCATACAAAGACTGCCATCAGATGTTCTTCACATCATCACTTACAATTGGCCCTCCCTACAACACTGTACTTACTTCACCTCATTCTCTGTAGTATTATTGGCACACTTATCACAGCCAATCATTCCTTGGACCTGTGGATCCATCACTGATTCCTGCCTGATTTCCTGAAATGTACACCACACATTTCAATTATGATCTTGTGTTCAGATAATATCTGATAGCAGTTCATGCTTTCTCAGGCAAGCAAGCTCATAGTTATGCCAGGCAATCACAATATGTCACTCAGTGAACTATGCAAGTCATTTTCTTACCTGGTATCTTCATAATATCCACATGAACTCTAAGTGAATCTTGCTGCACACACCACTGTAGGTGCTACAAGAACACATGGATCCTCAATGGCAGTACTAGTACAACCCACAGCCAAAAAAAAAACCAATCATCACAAGGCAAAAATAGTCTGGATTGGCTCTGGCAATCCAATCTTTATGCACCAGTCTACAATGATCAGGATGAACATCTAAAAGCCAAGCCTGCATTGAACCCAGAACCCTACTCTGATCCACCCTGGATGGCCTCTGCTCAACAGCCTTCTTGACAGCCTTTAGTGGCTCCTGAGGTTACCTATGTACCTCTTCACCACCACCATCTCCAGCTTCTTGATCCCACTCACCTCATGCATGATCACCTCATTCTCTGGTTAGAATGAGCACATGTGCTTCCAGAGCTGCTTCCAGAGCATGGGATTCAGACAGGCCATGAATAGTGTGGAGATGGAGATCTTCTGGGATCTCATTCAAACTATGTGTAAAATGTGAAATATAAAAGAAGGAAGGAAAGCAGGCAGTACTCACCAAATATACAGTCTCAATTTGATCCTGCTATTGATCCTTTCCCTCTCTATAAGGCTTGATCATCCATTCTCCATGAACAAAGACAGAATGAGCTCAACTGAACATGCAGCTTGTGAATATTGTGAGTTTTTAAGATTCAGAAGAGTCACACTAGCTAGCTGCTGAAGGATTCTCTTCAGCAGAGATATATCATGATAACACTCTAGCTGACTCTAGAATGAGATGTTGGAGATTAGTATCCACTGAGTTCCACAGCTTTGTTATTAATCCAGGAAATGTGTAGCCTTCTGTACTACTCACTTCTAGCAGGAGACAAAAGCCTTGTGATTCTGAGGGTGGGAATTGTATTATTGCAGTTGCTAAAACACACCACTGAGATGGAGGGAGAGAAGCATGTGGGATCTCTTGAGCCAAAGTCCATGCATGAAGATCTGAGTGTCAAGTAGATGGCTGCATGTCCAAAAGGAAAGGAGGTGCACATTTTCCCATGAAAGAAAACATGGCCAGAAAAGAAAAATGGTGCTGCCCAATCTGAGTCTAACATTCAGCTCTTCTAAGTTCTATAATGCAATGGTCTTGTATGCATAATATACTCAATGCTAGCCTCAAAGAGGTCTATTAGAATTAGTGCAGTCACTGGAGGGATAGGATATTAATGACTCAGACTCCTATACAGAACTCCTCTTGATGAGCAAAGAAGCAAGTTGAATCCTTCCTGAGGGCTCAGACTAAAAGATACAGTTGAGAGATCTATGACACCCATTTCCTGCTAGTGGACTTGAACTCCATGTCATGCTCTATCAACTGAGCTGAGAGGAATTGCTAGTAAAGCAAGCATGTGAAAAAAATACCTTTCACACTCTTATTGCTTGCTCATTTGAATCAACTGTGATTCACTCACACTTCAGGATGTTAACTAAACTCAAACAGAAAGCTGAGTTTAAACTTAGTTGCTCCTCTCATGGGAAGTATTTTTCCCAGAATAAAATATGCAAGAAGGTCTCACAGGGCCAAATCGAAAACGACTTCATTCTCTTTGAGTGACTGACCTTATGTCGACCAAAAAGTGACGAGAAGGGGATTCGAACCCCTGCCATCATACGATGATGAGAAACCCATATTCAGGCAAGCTTCCTTTCAACTTGAGTCACACGCCTTGGACCGCTCGGCCATCTCGCCATGGTACCAATATAAAAACATAAAGTCTTAAGGTGAACAAAATCTGGAGCAAGAAAAATAGATCTTTAATTTTAGAATATCTCCTCTTTCTAAATATATGACCCAGGCACGGAAATAAATGCATGAGTGTGCGGGACTTGAATAGGTCGGTGGCGCTTCGGGAAGATCAACGATGGTTTATTTAAAAACACAGATTTGCAGTGAGTTAGAGTATCCAGAGTGAAATCCCCAGCGGACTTGAGCTTGAAGGACTAATACTACGCACTAACGACTGAGCTAAGAGAGATCTGACAGTGAAAGCATACAAGGGGAGACACGATGTCGGAGGATTTTGGAATTATGATGAAAATTGAACGAGCTTGGCGCCGTAACTGAGTCTACGATTCTCTTGGCAATGAAAAAAGAAGACAAGCACAATCTGTCAAGCTTGAAAAGAAAAGAAGACAACGTGACGCGGACGAAGAGATGATGTGGCGCTGTTCGGTGTTGTTATCGAACGGGGGTAAAACATGCTTGGTGTCCAACCTGAAAGTTCCCTAGCGGACTTGAACCACTAACGCCTTGCAGCGTACGAACTCAGCCGAGAAGGAACTGAATGTGAAACGTGCACCTGCATAAGAGAGACGATGCGCAAAAGAGGAAAGGTACGACGCGCTTGCCATCCGTAATTGAAAGAAAACGCAATTATCGCGTCACACGCATACAAGCGCAGAATTGAGAGGAAAATGCTGATATATAGTCGCCAGACTTGCCAGGTCGGTGGCGCGGTACTGCCTCGAGATGTGGGCACCGTACATGGATCTCAGGATGAATCAGAGTGCGCAGCAAAGGTGGAACGATAACCGGGCTTGAGAAGCCCACGGACGTGCGTTGAATGGGGCGGGGCGTAGGCAATGTAAATTCTGAGACACGGCGAGAAATGGCCGGCGTTTGAAGGTACCGGCGAACAGAGGGTAGGGAACACGCTAGATGGCAGGCGAGGCGAGGCGGAGCATGCGACATCCGTGTAGAGAGAGAGAACTCTGTCTGAGTCAGATGGTGACAAGTGACAGAAGCATCAAGACGAAGCAGATGTCGATGCATTAATGACATAACGCCCCCCTTGATCAAACATTTTCACCAAACTTCTTCTCGGCACGTGGCCCCTTCAAATAAAACCCCGTCCTTCCCACATTCCTTTGCTTCCCTTTCCCCCCCATCCCTCGCCCTCCTTTGACGATGTTCTCCGCCCTTTTCGCCCTCGCCGCCCTCCCTCTGACGCTCGTACACGGTCTGACCGTCAACAACCCGACGACGACCGTCACGTCCACCGGCTCCATCACCATCTCATGGACCACCTCCTCAGGCGACCCCTCCGCCTTCTCCATCGAGCTCATCAACCAGTCCTTCAACAGCCAGTTCGCCATTGCCAACAACGTCGACGCTAGCCTGGGGTCCCTCACCCTCACCCTCCCCCAGATCCCCGCCGAGTGAGCCGTTTTTGCTTTTGTTTTAATTCACTTTCCCACGCTGACGACTCTGCCAGAGATGGGTACACGATTGAGCTCGTGAATATCTCCAACATCAACAACGTCTACGCCCAGACGAGCACCTTCTCCGTCTCGGAGCCTGTCAGCTCCTCTGTCTCCTCGTCGGCGTCGTCGTCCGGGTCTGCTAGTGCGAGTGGGAGCGCGAGTGTCAGCGGTTCGGCGTCCGTGTCAGCTTCCGGGTCCACGTGAGTCTTCCCTCCCTCCTTCCTTGCCTTCCTTCTTCTTCACTAACCAACCCTTCCAGGACCGCCTCTGGATCCGCCTCGTCCGGGTCCACCACTCGCGCGAGCTCAGCCTCAGCCGCATCGTCCACCTCGCCTTCCACCGCCTCAGCTGCATCCACAGCTTCCTCGTCCGCATTCAACGCAGCCTCGCGCGTGCAGATCGGAGGTGCCGGTTTCCTCGCGGCTGTCTTGACATGGGTAGTCGCTCTCTAATAAGACTCTTTTTGTTCCGATGAGACTTTTCTCCTTACTTGGGCACAGTTTTTTTCTTTACGAATAATTACGCACGCTTTTATTATACCTCCCTTGTCTATATCAAAACAGGACTGGACTGTCTACGTATTATTGTCTTTTCTACGTATTGACATTTACCAGCATACTTTCTGTCTGTTCTTGTTGACAATTATCATACCTGTTTCCCACTGCTGGTGGTGCCATTTTTGTGTTACATTAATGATGCCGAGTATGCAGTACATATTATTAGACCACGAGACTACTAAAATTTTGCTGTTGTTGTTGGTGTGCCCAATGAGATACCAGTCATTAACTTTATACAACTCCTCACTACTGTATCCCTCTTAGCTCAGTTGGTAGAGCGCGTCACTAGTATGGTCCAGCTCTAATAGTAATGACGAGGTCAGTCGTTCAAGTCGGCTAGAGGGAATTTTGGGATATATTTGAGTGTTATTTTCAAACATTTATTTCTTTCGCTTGACTTATCATTTCATCTTGGATTCTCTTTCTGTTGTTGTTTATTTGTCTTAATTTTGCATGCACACTGACAAAAGTTCACTCACTCAGAACTACTGTACTAGTTTTTGAAATGCTAGTATAGACTTTTATTTCTATGTCAGATGTTTTGATCTTACTAAGCTGATATTAGAACACAGATTAGAGGCATGAGCAAGGAAGCACCTCTTCAAGTGTCTAGAATAAGATCATTTGCTGGCTGCTTGTTAGAACAGAGATTCTTAATATTTCTAGTCAAAGTTAGGATTCAATAATTGTTAAGCCCAAGCGTCACGTGAACTGATACACGTGATAAACAGGTGTTCCTTCGCACTTCGAGGAATCACCTGAGTTCACTATATGTATATCCGGACGGTGTGACTCAAGGTCAGGTATAGACTCGAGATAGAATGGTGTGTATAAACTTTAGCTCGAAGCTGGGGATTACCAGCGAGAGCTGTCCTACTTAAATACTACTGAGTAATGTCTAAATATACGACTACCTATTGTGCGTCGCTGTGTCCTTTGTGCCCATTGTACTAGGGCATCGTTACCGTACATAAAAGGTTCATTGTGCGTTGTCGAGCGTCGTCTCTATGTCGAAGACAATGGTGGATCTGGCTTGTGCTGACCAAGATTCCCATGGTCCAGTGTCATGACTAAGCACAAAATAGGGGTTAAGGAAGAAAGAAAATAGTAAAATCGTAACATTACCCCCTCGTTAAGACCATCGTCCCGATGGTTTAATTAAGGGAGAGTTCATAATCATGTATGGCTTTGTTGGCGTTCATGTATTTTTCGTTGACCCACTGATTGGATTCCGGGCCATAACCCTTCCAACTGACGAGATAATCAACGGTCGTCGTCATTCCCCCTCCTTTGGCTTTTGTTCGTCGTATTTTATGATTGAGGATGTGATCAATTTCGAAATGTTCCTCGTCGTTGATCAGGTCCGGGGGTGGGGGAGGTGGCCGTTCCTGGTTAGGGAAGGCTGGTGCGATATAGGGGTTCAATAAAGTTTCGTTGAAAACATCGTGGATTTTCCAGGTCTGTGGTAGCCGTAGTTTGTAAGCGCTTGGTCCAATGGCCTTTATTACGGTGAAGGGGCCGGTTCGCTTGTCGTCCAGTTTCTTTTTCGGACGTGGCAAATGGAGGTTCGTTGTGTCTAGCCATACCTTATCATTTGGTTGATAGGTATGGTTTGGGTGCTGATGTTTATCGTACGTTCTCTTCATCGTTATTGCGGCCTTCTCCAATGCTGCTTTTGTTTCATTATGAATTTTTCCCATCTCGGCCGCGAAGTCAGAGGATGCCGGTGTAGTCGTTCGGAGACGACTCGTTTGAGTGATGTAGGGGTGGCGGCCATGATTTACGAAGAATGGGGTTTTTCCCGTTGCAGAGTGTACTCGGTTGTTATGTTGAAAGCCGGCAAGTGCCAGCCATTCGGTCCAATCGTCCTGGTGGTAATTAATGAAAAGACGCAAGTATTTTTCGATTTCCTGGTTGACGCGCTCCGTTTGCCCGTCCGTTTGCGGGTGATAGGCTGTAGACGCGTTTTGCTTGATATTTAGGATGCGGTATAAGTCTGTGATGAACTTTGAGACAAATTGAGGGCCCCTGTCGGAAATGATGACTTGGGGCATCCCATATTTGGCGTATACCTCATCACGTAGGATTTTGGCCCATCCTTCAGAATTTAATTCCGTAGAACACGGAATTGGGACGATGGCCTTGGAGAAGCGGTCTACTATGACGAGAATTGCGTCATAGCCGTTACATTCGGGCAGACCGGTGATCATGTCGACGGAAATGTGTGTCCATGGGGTAGAGGGCACCTCATTGGGGTGTAGCGGTGCCGCCCGTGCTTGCGTCGAGGACTTTCCCCGTTGACATGTTTCGCAAGCTTTCACATAGGCTGTGATGTCGTTCCCCATTTTTGGCCACCAATATTCTCGTAGGACGAGCTCTTTGGTCTTGGCTATGCCCGGGTGTCCAGCCGTTATATGGTCGTGATAAATGGTGATGATTTTGCCGCGTAGTTGTTGGTCTCAGGGTATGTAGATCCGTCCATCATAATGAATTAGGCCTCCTTCCTTTGTCATTCCTCGTTCATGATTAAGTGAAGGGGCTACCCTTTGATCCCACTTGTGGGTATCCCGTGTCGTGCTTTTGATTTGCTCGTGTATCTCCTCCTCTGTCGGCATTACCATGGCGCGGAAGTGTTCCGGCCTTAGTAGTGTCACTCCTTCATTATCCGTGCTTCCCTGATCGTGATCGGATCGCCGGCTCAGTAGGTCGGCCTTCTTGTTCGCCGTTCCTGCCTTGTGATGAAGGGTGTATTGATACTGGCTAAGCTCCGTTACCCAGCGGGCTTGTCGTCGATTGAGCTTTTGGGGTTGTCGGAAGTATCGTAGATTCTGGTGGTCTGTCCAGACCTCGAACACCTCTTCGGCCCCGATAAGATAATGTCACCATTCTTCCAGGGCGAGCATGATGGCAAGTAATTCCTTGTCGTAGATTTCATAGTTTCGTTCTGTGACGGTCAGGGCCTTGGAGAGGAAGGCCACGGGCCACCATTTCCCGTCCTGCTCTTGAGAGAGAACAGCCCCTATCGCCCCCTCGCTTGAGTTGGCTTCTACCCTGAACCTCCCCTCCTGGGTTGGGATGGCCAACACAACATCTTCCGCCAATCGCTTCTTGAGATTTGTAAAGGCATTCTGTTGAGAGGGGCCCCAGTTCCAGGGTGTGTTGCCCGTTAATTGTGTCATTGGGCGGACTATTTTGCTATAGTCGCGAATGAATCGTCGGTAGAAGTTTGTGAACCCGAGGAATGATTGTAATTCCCTTTTTTTGCTGGGCTCCGGCCACTCGGTAACTCCCGCCACCTTTACTGGATCCATTCGAATGCTCCCTTCGCTGATGATTACTCCGAGGTATTCCGTTTCTAATACCTCGAACTCGCACTTCTCCGCTTTGAGGAACAATTTGTGTTTCCTCATGAGGGCTAGCACTTTTCGTACTAGGCTACGATGCTCCTCTTTCGTTTTGGACATGATCAGGATGTCGTCTAGGTAGATCGTTACCTTTCCAGTGGAGATGAGATCCCTGAAGATATCGTTCATCATCCATTGAAAGGTGGCCGGGGAATTTGTGAGTCCAAAGAACATCACGGTTGGTTCGAATAACCCTCGGTTGGTGCGAAAAGCGGCCTTCCATTCGTCTCCCTCCTTGATTCGGACGTTGTTGTACCCCCACCATACGTCGAGTTTAGTGTAGTATTTGGCACCCCATAGTTTGTCCATTAACTCCGAGATCAGGGGTAATGGATAACGATTTTTAATCGTCATCTCATTGAGTTTTCGGTAGTCTTGGACCGGTTGGAGTTTTCCATCTTTTTTTTTGATGAAGAAGAAAGGGGATGCCATGGGGGATTTCGAGGGGCGGATCCGACCACTTGATAGGTTCTCGTCCAGGAACTTGTCAAGTTCCTGTTGTTCGTAATGCCCGAGTGGGTAGGTCTTGCAATCCAGGTTGGTGTTGGCATTGGGAATCAGCTCGATCGCATGATCCCAGGGTTTCGGAGCTGGTAGTTCATCGAAGCTCTCCTTTTCGAACAGGTCCCTGTAGTCTCGGGCCCACTCGGGTACCATCTCCTCAAACGTCTTCTCTTCCTTTCCTTGATTGGCCTTGGCGGCCAAGTCGTTTGCATGATGGACGGCTCGTATGTGGATCTCCTTTTCAAGGTCCACCGCCAGTATGGTTTTCCCGTCTTCCATCTCTTCATCCCACCGATCTTCAGGATCCTCGTCCGGCAATTCGAATGGTATCTTTCTACATCTGCACCGGGCGAAAGTGATCCGGCCGGTTTTCCAATTGATTAGCGGATTGTGGCGAATCAACCAGTCATGACCGAGGAAGAGTTCTTTCGTCCCGAGATCCGTCACCGCCAGGTCGATTCGTTCGGAGTGGTCTCCGATAGTCAACCTGAGTTCGACGAATTCGGTGATGGATCCGGCTTGGTTCTTCGTTCTGTCAGCGTTATATACCGGTATTGGGGCTGCCGTCGCCCTGGTGGGGAGCTGATGCTTGTCGACGAAAGCTTGATTGATCGAGCTCCCTGTGCAGCTGCTGTCGATCAGGGCGGTTACCTGATGGGTGGCTCGGGAGGTCAATACTTCGATCTGCCCCGTCGTGGTTAGATCTCGTCCGGGGGTTTTGGCTCGTAGAATGTATTTTTTGGGCCCATGGAGTTCATCCAACCACTCTAGGGCGCGATTGCGTTCGGCCTTCTTGATTCCTTCGATTAATTCATCCACTACTTCTTCCGTTCTTGCCTGGTGTATCCAATTTCGGAGTATGGCTTTTGCTGCTGCTTCGTTTTTTGCTTCCTTGATGGCCCTCCAGGTCCATTCGGTGTCGAATGGTTTTAGCCATGTGGTGGGACCCTCTGTCCCTGTTCGACCCGTAGGTGTTTGAGTGTTGTTTTTCTTTTGCGATTCAATGGTGCGTTTTGTAAACGAGTCGGGTATATTCGAATGCGTAGTAAACATAGATGTAACTACAGAGACATTGTTAGTCCGACTAGCGGCTGTTGTTGACCCACCATCTGATTTTTTGGCCAGTCCAATGGAATCGCTCATTGGCTGGCCTCGCCTTTTACCTCCTCGATCTTGGTTTCCTTTCCAAGATCTTCTTCTTCCTTCTGGAGTTCGGCGATCTGTGCCCGTATGTCTTCTCGGGTTCTTTTCTTCTTCGGGCAATCCTTTGCCATGTGTCCCTTTTGCCCACAGTTAAAGCATTTTCCCTCCTTCTTCATGCGGTCAATGTCCATCGGCTTTCCGGTCCCGGTATAAGTTGTGCCGGTCCCGGTCTTTTGTGCGCTGTATGAGGGGGTGGGGTTCGACAGGGAGCCCGAGGTTTTTCCAGCAGTTTGCC